TCCCCTTTAACTCTGTATTGTGTGACCAGTTCTCCAATGCAAGGCTTTCAAGCCTAAAGGCTTGAATTGATAATCTGCAGGCTGGCCAAAACCAACCTCACTAGGTTCTCAGCCCTATTTCAGCTGTAACAAGCACAAATGAAAATAAATTCACCAACAACTTGTTTGTTGGAAGCCCCATTTTAACCTTAGGTATATACATACACACATGCAAAATACAAATATATAAATAATATATAAAAATATTGGTATATAAAAATATTGGTATATAAAAATATATACATAGGAATCTATAAAATATTTGCAAGTGTTTATTTATACTTTATACTAGATTTTCAAAACAGCTTTGCAGTTTTCATTAACCAAAACCCGTTATCCTAAAGTAGTCTCCAAAAACATGGACATATCTTGTGTTCTGCACTGAGATTTGAACTGTGAGGTAATGAACCCTAGTTTGGAAATGATGTACTAGTTTTGCAGCATTCTGTCAAACCTAATGCCAGCAGCTTAAAAGAGGAATACAGAATGTCTGAATTGCTCCCAAAAATGTCATCACCGTGTTTCTCAGTGCCAGCCCCCTGACTGTTCGCAGGAGATTGGTATTTTCCTTGTTAGGAGGGAAGTAAGAACAGAAGTTCCTTTCGGACGTACATGGAGCCTCTTTGCTCTGCTCGCTTACAAGATAACTGTGAGGTTTTTGGGTTTTCGTTTTTCCTATCCTGCCTCCTTACCAGTTATGTAATACAGAGTTTTCCAAAACTCTGAGGACTGTTCAAGTTGCTTTCTCTAAAGCAAATAGCTAAACACTGGAGTTGATGCAAACAAGGCACTTAGCATCTGAAAGAAGTGTTAACACTTTATTTACATTTAAATTAAAATGGACACTTATTTATGTGTTCTGGTTCTGAAAGGTGTGTGGTACATCTGCAGAGGCCTATTGTTTATTCATGCTGTAAATCCTTTGAAATGTGTTAAAATGCTTCCCACTCATTATAAAAATCCTGCCACCCATGGATTAGGGCTTTGATGTCACCAATCCTGCTTCAAAGGGTTCTTTCAATGCTATTAATCACAGTTTAGCCTCTGAAGATATAGCCAGAGAAAACATTTGGACATCTTGTGCTAGACTTGCTAAAACTTTGAAATATACAGAGTGTCTTGCATATGCACAGGCCAGTATCACTTCCTCCCTGTTCTGTGAGCCTCTGTTTTGAAAAGCTGTTTTATGATGACTTTGCTGTCCTGGAAATAAGGCAGAAGTTTAGGATGCATCATACTGTACATTAAAAAAGGCAATGATGCCTTTCCAAAAAAAAAAAAAAAAACTCTCTTTTCACAGAGGAATTGAGTCAGTCTTTAAAAACCCCAAGGGACAAGAGGACCTGGGATTAGGCAGGCCTGTGTGTCAAAAGGTCAAAAACGATACAGTCTTATCATTTTCTCATCTCTTTCATTAGTTTGTGAACTTAAGATGCTATCTAAACACTTCAGGAGCCACACAGTTTCATAAAAACAAGAGTCTTGCTGCTGCTGTCCTTTTTCTTTCTTTTCTTTTTTAAATCTGAGCAAGTCACAGAGAAATTGATTGCTCCTGATTGAGCTGTAAGCCTTTGTGCTGCCCTCATTTTGAGCAGCTCAGTAGCTGAGGTCAGTGACATGCCACCTTATCACTGACTTTTTCCTCTCGTTTAAATCAACACAGCACTCTGTCATGCTAGGACTGAATGCTCCTGGAGGCACAATTGGTAATGAGCGGGGTGTGGAAGAAGTGTACTGGTGTCACTGTTTTTACTAGTGTTGCAGAAGCTGATTTCCCGCCACATAGATTTTTCCCTGCTGTGATTTTTAAGCAGTTTTGCCAGTGTGTGTTTCTTTCTCTTTAAACAGGTAACTTGGCACAGGCAAGAGCCAGAGTGACAGCAGCATCTAGGTCTTTGCCTCCACAGCTGAGTGCTGGGCGTATCAAGGTCAGTAGTGTTCCCTTTGAAAACAGACAGTTTTTCATAAAATACTACACTGAGACTATGGACATGATGCTTAGCTGATGTACATGCTTAGTGAACCTCTTACACAAGTGAAAGTCTGACTACCTGTCAGAAAATGGGTACCTTGGTTGGGAGCCTTGGGTTTCCGACAACAGTGAGCCTGCTATTGTAGCATCGAGGGAAGAATCAATTCAGCACTGATTAATCTTTAGGCTTTTGGAGTGAAACTTCAGTTCTGTAGATATCAGTACCAATTCCTCTTGGTTACAATGGGGTCAGGACTTTTCTCTTACTACAAGTCTGTTGTACTAAGGCCTATTGTATATTGATTATTGCCCTATTACAGAACTGCATAGCTCCATATACACATTATAAATTAACTAGAGACAAAACTTTGAAAAAAATACAGCAAAATCTCCCTAGTTTCAGTGTTTATCAGAACATTTCTATTTCTATCAAAAATACTTTGAAATTCATCATACTGTGTACAGGTTTTACAATTAAATTCACAATCCTATCTATAAAAAGAGAATTCTCATGGTGCTGATTTTAGCCTGGTTTACTGAGAAGAAGTGTCCAAATCTTCCTCTATGAGTTTGTGTCTTATTATCTGTCTTTCTCTGTGGCTCTCTTCCTCCCTACTCTGTCAAAAAACAACAAAAACTACAAAAACAACAAAAGAACTTCTTTTGAATGCAGTAGGCCATAGCAAACTATATTTGACAGGCTCAAAAATGATAAAATTCTACAAGTTTGGTGCAAATAAGTAGATATGTAAAGGAAGGACTATACTGTCTGAAAGGCTGTAGCTTAAGCTCACCCTAGATAGCAGTGATTCCAGATGTACCTGATAAGTAATCAGCGATGAAACTCCAAGAAAAAGTTCATTTGGAGCCTAGGCTTTCTTACACAGCCAAGCACCCAATTTAGAAGCTTGAATTCACAAGCAGTTTGGCTTTAATATTGTGTTCTATTCACTTTGCATTATATTCAGTGTTCTTTGAGATTAAGTTGTCTATCTCCTAACACTGAATTTACTCTGAATTTACTATTGACACTCTTATTTCAGGGATGAAAGGAGGTTTTTGTTTGTTTGTTTGTTTGTTTGTTTTGTTTTGTTTTATCTTTGTTTACAGAGTGATTTGCAGTAAGATATTTCTTTATATATTGAAAACCTCTGTCATATGGCCTGTGTAACTGGGTATTCCGAAGAGGGGGCTTCTTTTCCCTGGCTTTGATCAGCCAGTAATGTCATTCATCCTGGTTCCTCCTTTCCAGTTAGAATGGTGGCTGTGCAGCTTTCTGAGGGAGGTCATAGTAAACCTTAAAGTTGTCCCTTCCTCAGTCATTGTGCACCTCAGACGTGCTTCTCATTTACAGCTGTGCTGTACTGTCCTCTTAAAAGCCCTTTCCTGAATTATGGAGTGTCTCTCCAAACATAGCATTTTTCTACTGACATATATTAGCATCTCTGAGACCTCTGGAAGCCTAACTCCTGAATCCAGATTGTCTTGATCCCTGCTTGATCCAGTTTCCAGACCTCTGTATAGGAAAAACAGTCATTAACAAAGTCTCCCTATCTTCTTTTCAGATGGTCAGTATTCAGTGATACGGTCTTACCTGACCTCTATCAGAGATTTAGATGTCAGTGCTCAAAAAGGCTCACCAAAATAGGTTTAAAACAGAACCATGTCCTTCCCCATGGACATCCCTGCTGTTCTGTTTAGGTCATTGATGTTTACTTTGTCTCATGAGCTCTCAAGATGTTTGATGTTATCTGTGCTGATTTAAGGCATTTCTTTCCTGGGATATATTACAGAATTTTTTGTGTCTTTAAAACTCAAATCAAACTGTATCTTTTTATCCTCATGTATTAATTTGAGTGCATACTAATGCCTGTACACCACTTCAGGCAAGAACATTAGAGATTACAAAACCATATTGAAATTTTTATGGTTACCCTTATTGAAATCTGTCTGCCTTTGCACCATCTGTATGCTGAATCTTTTCTTCACAAGCTTTTTCTTTTAACTTCTTTCCCAATAGAAAATCCATTTTCTTGATATAATACTACTTAGTGCTTCATTTCCTTTATATTTTGCATGCAGTCTCCTAAATCTCTCCTGAAGGTAAGAGACACAGTTACTTTATTGGAAATGGTAATCTTGCTGCAATTACATATTGTATTCAGAAGAGTGGTCTTAAGGCAGAGGGCTTTGGAAATGATCATATGAAGCAAAGTCCAGGAAGTGTAGTACAGGTGCTGACAACAGCATTATCTGGTTTATACAAATGCCACCTGGTCAGAGCAGATGGTAAACTGCCACAAAGCAAGCGAATGCCGAAATGTTGTTAGTGCTCCATGCAAACCGGATGCTAGTTGATTTTCTTTAGTTTTGTTGAGCTGTAATACAGCAACACAATCTGCTTGTGATTGGTAACCATGGTTATACTCATTCATAAAGTCTCATTTCATTTTGATAAGAACAGCTGTACTGACAGTATAACAAAAATGTACGAGGAGCAGTATGGTTGCTGACCGTGTATGTGCTCTAAAAATAACTCTGTAATCTATGGAAAAAAATGCTGACAAAGTGATGTTTGGAGCTATAGCAGTTTAGCAGAATGAGACTACTGAAACTCTCAGCATCAAAATGGTAATTTAGAGTAACTAGTAGTAACCACAACAACAGATAGGAAGTTGTATAGTCTGAAAGCCATATATTATGTATTCTTTTTGACACTTGTGTTTGACAACAATGACATTTTTTCCATACATTGCGAAAGTCAGGCTTTTCTTGATAATTTACTTCCTGGTCATTATAAAAATGGAAACTCTTCTTATACAGGAAATAAGACCTGATGGAATTCGTGGTAGCAGTGACAAGAGGAATGCTTTTTAGAAGTCAGATCAGGAAATAGGGCATTTTGACAGCTGCTTCATTGGCCTGGTTCTGCTTTGTGACAAAAGTGTGAGATTACCTCCATGCTGATCAGAAGATCTACCAGCCAAGGAAGATTTTGACATTGAATGCATTAACAGGGGTATAACATGTAGGAAGACATAGAGGAAGTAATATTTCTTGTTTCGAAGAGGCTGGGAGATCAGGGTAGGTAGCTATTGCTACGTCAGAGAATGTCAGAGAAATGTCAGCCCAACTTCAAAAGGCCAAGTGGCAGCCTAGAAATTACCTGTGTTACTGTGTCAATATCCTGTGTCACTAGCTGCCTTAAACAGTAGTTGCACTTACAGACATGTCCTCTTGTTTGGCTGGAAGAAATGTAGTGTTAAACAGAATAACAGCTTAACGTCACTGTTTCCTTGATGAAATATTAATTGAGGCATGTTAATTTACTGAGAAAAAAGGGCATGGCATGAAGTTTTTTTTACATAGAGGTGCCGCTAGTGATGTGTCTCAGTGTACATTATGAAGTGAAAAAGAGACACTGCTGCCCATGGCAGCCACGCTGTGCTCTACTGTAGCTCACAAATATCTTTCCACTGGAGAGTAAGCACTGATGACAGAAGTGCTGCTGGCTGGGGGCTCAGTTTGTGCTCTGCCTCTCCCAAAGGGACTGGGAAATCTTCAACAGTGGAAAAGCCATTTGGCAGATTTGGGCAGAAAGACGGTTTCCCATAGATACCACACTACTTTCATTCTTCTTTTCATGAGCCTTGATGTAAGGTGCTGGAAATGCCTTTGTGTGCAGTGCAGAACTAAAGAATGAATTTCATCATTTTTATTTTCTTCTTTCAAAACTTTACCAGAGGGTTCTTTGTGTGCGCATGTCTTCCATCCTTGCTTACAGATCAAAAAGAAGTAAATGATGGATATAGAAGACCTATAAATTGTAAATAAATTGGTGAATGATTTTCTATTATTGCATTCTTTCATTTCTACTCACCTGTTAGTAATATGGCCAGTTTATAATAGGCCAGTTCCCTTCTAAGTCAGAAAGCAGGGTGGACAAGGGATGCTAGCAATGGTCAAAAGAAGAGGCCAAAATGCATTTCATGTGTTCATTCTCTTGTCTAAAGCTACAGAAGACATAAGAGGACTGGTTTGGTTTAGTAATCCAAACCGAGAGAGTTTGTGAGTCTTGGCAGTGTTAACCTGCTAACATTTGAGAGGTTCAGATCAAAAGTCGTACAGCTGAGTTTCTAAATGCAGGCCAATCTGGTGGGATAGAAAACCAAGCCTAACCCAGAGCTAATTCATACCGAGATCCTCCACATCAGAATCATCAGCAATCAGAAGGACAAAGTTAGTGAATTTGAAATTTTCCCGCCAGTAAGACCATACTGAAATTTTGCAGCTTTTGATGGTTTTAGAGCCCATAGATCACCCACTGAAGCCGGCATATACCCTGCCTGTGCTACCTGTGGTGAGGTCCCGCTAAGCGCGCGCTCAAAGGAATGGTCCTTACGAAACCTGAGCCCAGCTTCAGATGCAACATGGAGGTGGGTCCGGGGGTGCTAAGTGAATTTGGTGGGATAGCTCTGACATTTGTGTTTTGTGCTCCAGGTTGACACAATGGAGGTGATGCGACACCCTGAGGAAACAACTAACATGAAGAGGCAAACTATGGCTTCCTATTTTAGGGTACGATCCTTGGCCTGTGATCCTTGGCAATGCAAAATGGAAGAGATGGACAGTGCTGTGTTGGCCAGTTGGGTCAAAGATCCTGACATGCTTTGTTTTTCTTGTGAAACAGTGCAAGAAAAAGCATAGAGGCAGCTGCTGTGAATGTGTGCTTACGAACAGTCGCACAGCTATAACTTGGGTAGGGGTTGTTAATAAAAAAAAAAAAAAAGTGAAAAATTGAAGGAAGATGAGTCTGAGGAAGATGAGTCTGAACATACACCATATAGCCACAGACTACGACCATGTAATCACACCCACATTCACTCAACTTGGAATTGTGATTTTGAGGTTGAGTGTATTTGCAACAAATGACTGATCTTCAGGAGGGTAGAGCAGAAATATCCATAGTTAAAGGTGTCCCTGAGAACCAGATGTAGAAAACCTAATCATACTGTTTTTATTTTAGTGCAAAATGGAAGGGAAGAAATTGTTTTCCATATCAAGGGATAGGAAGAGCAAGAAATAATGGGCCAGTTTTTCAATAGGAAGATGTAGCGTAGATGTTGAGAAGCTTATAAATGGCCGTGATAATAAGGCACTGCCTTAGTTCGCTGAGGCAGGTTGTGCAGTCTGTATCCGCTGTGAGAATCAAATGAGACAGAGATGTGCCTGAAATGGTACACGTGCATCCAGAGCTGTTGTTGGGGAGAGGACTGAACTAATGACTTCTTGCAACCTCTGTGAGCTGTGAGTTCTGTGTTCATTTGATTAACTGTAAAGCTGTTTTTCCTGCTGGGGGTATTATTTGACCAAATGTGCTTAGAGTAGATATTTAGTTGGGACATTTGCAATTTAAAACTTTTTAATTTGGGCCTTTCTTTCCTCATATCACTTTTTCTGTTGTAGAGAGAGAGGGAAGAAATAACAACTAGAAGCATATTTTTTTAAGACAGTTGAAAATTTTTAATGGGTTCTATTTTTTTAGGCAAACGCTTAAAAGTATAATGTCAATGTAGATTAAAAATTGCACAGTTAAAATATTAGAAAAATTAAGAGATCCTTGAGATCCATTCCCAAATTGCAAATATGCCTTTCCTGCTTGAATATTTGTGTCAGGCCAGTCTGTCTTTTTCTTTTGCCCTCTAGTATTCCCTGATGGATCTTTTATCCAAAATGGTTGTTGGACAGCCTCACTTTATCCGCTGCATTAAACCTAACGATGATCGAGAGGCACTGACATTTTCTCATGAGAGAGTTTTAGTGCAGCTAAGATACACAGGAATTCTAGAAACTGTCAAAATACGTCAAAAGGGGTATTCTCATCGCATCCTCTTCGAAGAGTTTGTGAAAAGGTGAGACTATTCTCTTCTGAAGCATGACACTCACTTTAGAACTCTTTCAGTAAAATATATTGTAGGGTTAGAGACAGAAAATTACAGGCATTGGTTTTTGTACGTGTATGACCTGATTCTCCTTACAGGAGCAGTGACTGTCAGAGGTAAGTGCTGCAAGCATTAATACTTTGAAGGAGAAAAGTCAATGTGAGACCAGCAATGACCACTTAGTTTTCAGTAGCAGGTCTGTCCCAGTGATGTATCTTCATAGAGGCAACATACAGAAATGTGTATCATGCTTTGGTAATATAATGACTTTAAAAGGTCAGTGAAGAATATGCACATGATTAGAAAACAGAAAAATGTGCACAATGATACAAAAGCGTTGAAAAAGTTTTTCCGAGAGTGTTAATCTCCAGATAGAGGACTTGAATTAGATCAGGGAATAAAGCACTAATATCTAAGAAAAAAATCATCAATATTGATTTCAATAGCATGATATAAAAAAAAGGTTTCAAAATATATTTGTGAATAGGTATGGTTGTGCCAGCATGATTCCCTATGCAGAGTCTTCATATAAAAATGTTTGCCTTCTTCCTCCTGTCCTCTTTTCTCCTCCTTCCCTCCTTTTCCCCCTTGTTCCCGTCCCCTTTCCCCTCGTTCTTCCCTGTTCCCCCCGCCGATGTTCCCAGCAGACCAACTGGAGAGCAGTTTTGCAGAAAGTGCTCGGCATCCTTAGTGGGCCCAAGCTGGCTGGGCACCCAGCCACACACCCCGTGGCCAGGAGGGCCGGTGCTGGCCAGTGGGCCACGTGGGAAAGTGTTGCCAGGAGCGGGGCCCGAGGCAGGGCGCCCGTCCCTCTACCCAGCCCTGGTGAGCCCCAGTGCTGGGGCCCCAGTACAGGAGATTCATGGATAGAGCAAGGCCAGGGGGAGGGGCTGGTACCTAGTGAAAGGACTGGAGCATCTCTCAAGTGAGGTAAGGCTGAGAGAGCTTCTGTTCAGCCTGGAGAAGAGGGGACTCAGAGGGATCTTACCAATGTTTATATATATGAGGGGAATGTGAAGGAGATGGGACCAGACTCTTCACTGGTGTCCAGAAAAAGAACAAACTGAATTTTTTGGACATGATTTCCTTCCCAACCCTTCATTTGTAACATGACTATTTTTTGTAAGGTCTAAAGTAGAATTAACAAAGAGATTTTGTTTTGTTTTGTGATTACTGACGTATCTTCACAACATCCTGAAGAGGCTGAAGTCAGAATTATTAACCTTAACTTTTATCCAATTTACACATAAGTGAACTAAGATTAACTCCATTTAAATTAGTGTAAATTTAGGGTAGATTAGGCTTCCTTGAGTCAATAGCTTCTTTCATTTAAAAGTACACTGAATTAAGAGTATAAACTTGAAAAGTAACAGTAATAAAAGCAGTGCTGACTGTAGCTTTCTGTCGTGCAGATAAGGGCAAGTTGTGTTTAACGTCTTGTCAGATGTTCCCCAAGTTTTTAGTCCAACCTGATATAATTATTTCAGGAGAGAGAGTAAACATGGAAAGGGAAGGGGAGGCTGGGGGGATTCAGCAGTTTGCCCAGTAGTACAGCAGACTTTCTGAATGAGTTCAGAACTTGAACAGGAGGAAGAGGAGGGCTTGGTGTTTCCATGTCCAGGCTTTATTTTAATCAACTTCTATTTTGTTTTACTGTTGGAAAAAAAAAGTCATGAACAATGTTTAAAATAGGTATGGAACAGGAAACATTTAGCTTCAGCTTACAGCAGTGACTAGTCAAGTGTTTTTAGGCACTAAGCAGTTGAATACATAAAAATATTTGAGAAAAACAGGTCAAATGCTAAATAGATTGGCACTTCTGTATTCATAATCAAAAAAGACATTAGGCAAGTATGAACAAGAGTTTCAAAATGTCAGTAAATCTGAGGATATCAAAGATTTTCTAAGCTAGCAAGTTAATTGGTATTTTGATCCTTTTGAGTAACTTAACAACAAAAAGGATGAGCCAGCACTTTTTCTCCCTTGATGTTATTAAACAAATAGGTGTGCTTTTTATCTGCCTGTTCAATAATGCTGTTTTGTAAACTCTTAGCAGGAAATATGAGGACAAAACAATCAAAGGCAGGGAGCAGAGCCATTCAGGGTTTATCAGGTGGGAGGTAAACAAAAGATAAAGCTCTAACTCTTCACTGTTTCTCTTCACTGTCTACGGTTCTCATGTAGAACAGATTATTTCACAGTGTTGTAAACCTGAAAGTTAGTTAAAAAACAGATGGCCAAGAGAAAACTTGATTGTAGCTCATTCACACACAGTTTCTTTAGTCAAGAATATAACCATCTGCTTTTTATATTTTTTATAAATGTTATCTTTGTGTACACGCGCATATGTAGGTGGGTATGGCTAAGTAAGAAAGGTGGTGCTGTTCAGCGCCTGTGAACACTGTCGCTGTGTCAGGCTGTGGGCCCTCTCTGGCGCTCGCTGCCGCAGGGTGCCCGCTGTGGTGCCTTGCAGCGAAGCATGTGCGTGTGCAGCGCCTTGCAGCGAAGCATGTGTGTGCGACGCATTGCAGTGAAGCGTGCGTGTGCGGCGCGTTGCAGCGAAGCACTGCGGCCCCTTCACTCAGCAGCTGCAATCCCGAGTTTTGGGTGCAGTTTGTTAACCTGAGCCACCAACCAGGCGTGCTCAGCATGGGGGCCGCGCAGTGGCCCTGCAGGGGCGAAGCACTGCGTGTGTCTGCTGGGGACCTGGTCTAGCAGTCCTGGCAGCTGGGACGCTGCATGGCATGTCCCAGTGTCAAGGCCCCGGGCACCTCACCTGCCACACCATGGGGTGCAGCTGGGCCCTCCTGTGAGATCCCCGGTGGAAGCGTTTCCCCTGTAGTCTGCCATGTACTGTGTCATGTGCTGAAAGACAAGAAACTTGAGAGTGTGGTGGTACTAGGTGGTGTCAGAATTCAAGTACCTCATGAGCACTCAGGAATGTGTTGAGAAGTTTCACAAAAGGATTGTCATCTGCCTTTCCTTTCTGTCATTTACTTCTCTGCCAGCCCATGTCGGGTAGTTTTGTACTGCAGTAGTGGCTGGATGCACTTTCTCTATGATCATTTTATCCTCTGCACAGGCTGATGATGCTGTTCTGATTGTACACTGGTGGCAAAATCCAGTGATACTATTGAATTGTAGTGGTGATCCTATTAGATGGGGTCTGCGTCTGTAATTCTACAGTACACATTTGCATAAGAATCATGTTAGGATACATTTTAAAGAGAAAAGCAGTTAATCATTACTTTGGTGAGTTAGTTATATGGAATTGCTACTGCCTTTAATTCTGGAATGCAAAAGGAACTTTAAGAGCGGTTGTAGTAGTCAAAAAAGTTTCACAATTTTAAATGTCCTCACTACACTGTGCATTGAAAGATTCACAAACAATCAGAACAATTACCATTCGCTTGAATCCTTCCTTCTAAGAAAGGAAACAGAGTACTTAGGTTACACATGTGAGTAAATGTCACAAGTATCTGAGTATCTGAACTCGTCATGAGTATCTGAACTGACTTTTGAAGCAGTTTCCTAGATTTGCTTTGAAGCAGTTTTCAAAATAGCATTTTGCTGTTTTGAAGCAATTTCCCATTGGTGCAACTTCTCTAAAGTATCTGTCAAATATGTGCCAAAATTGCACGCTATAAAAAATTGCTTAGGTTATGTATATTTTAAATATGTGTTTTACTAGAGCAGCTCAGAATGTTTTTTGTCTTCTAAGCTGTCATCATTAAGGTTAGTAGTAAAGCAGAGGTAAGTCCTTTATTTTTCTTTTACATATACCCTCTTTCTCCATCCCTGCTAAATGCCATGACTCTCAGTGTTTTGAAAGACTTGGCTAACAAACTTGCAGTATCATGTTAGTGAAAAAATCATGCCATTAAAATCTTAACTCTGTAATGCTTTATCTCCTGTGCCATTTGGAGTAGGCAGTGTCCTCAGCTGCTGAGTGAAATGTCTCTGGTCTCGGACTGATTCCAGTGCTTCTGCCTTCAGACATGATTTTGTTCCTCTTTGATCTTTATTGACTATTTTACTGGTTCTTTTTTCTTTTTTGTGACAACTGGAGCTAATCTCTAGAGATTAACTGGAGCTAATATTTGACAATCATATTCTAGTTTAAAAAAAAAAAAAAGAGAAGTGCTGCACTATTTCATTCTTTGTAATTGCTTTTCCATATTTTCTTTAGTACAGGGCAGGATTTTTTCTTGCCTGCATATGGCTACAGAGGAGTATATATCTTAGGCTCACTGGCCACATTTCTCTCTTTGTATTTTAAGGAACATTGGATGGTTCTTCGCCGCGTTAATGATTAAAAGAACAGTTTGCTCAAGCTGCCAACTCCTCTCAAACAGTGTCAATAGAGTTGTTCCTGCAGAAGTGTAACAATGCAGGAGACAAACAGTAACTGGTAGTTGCTACAGTCTAGCAGTATATCTATGATAAAATAACCTTAAATTTTGAACAAATTAGCACATGTTTTGCTCTTACTTATTTAACACGATAGCTTGTGCATAGACTTACCTTAATACTATAAAACCACCATCCATGAACAGGCAGTAGATTGGCAGGCAGGAACTGGAACATTCATTCTGAATGTCAGTTCAGTGCAAACATCTTTGCATCCCTTTTTCATTAACTATTTGCATAGTAATTTTACCTTACATAATTGTTCGAGGCAGTGCTTTGCATATAAACATGGAAACCAGGACAAAGCAAAAGTTATTTACTGTGGACCTGGTCCAAAAGCTATTAAATCAATCATAATCTTCCCAATTATCCCTATCAAATGGAAAAAAAGCCACCATGCCTAACAACTTACAAACCTGATCACAACCACCAAAATCCTGATGAATAAAAAAAAAATGGTTAAATTTAAGAGAGGAGTAATTCACTTGTTCTTTTCTTTAAAAAAGCAGCGAGCTCTATTGATCATCCAGACTGATAAAATCTTTTAGGATAAGATAGACAATGCCAGTCATTTCAATTATGCACGTGAGTGATCTTTTCTGGGGGTATATAACACAGTGGACATTCATGCAGTTTCAGTGTCTTGCTTTCTTGATATGAGACTCATTTTTACTGTACACTAATCTTATTCTTCTCGCACAGAGGCATCCTTTCAGTTTCTGTTATCAGCCAGTGTCATTAATAATGACAGAGAGCTGTAAACACTGCCCTGCAAACCCTGGGCTTTGCCTTCACTGATTGAATATCTGCAAGCTTTTTTTAGGCATATTGGAAGTGGAAAGATCCCCTGGCATTCACTGATGGGAGTGGTCTTGTTACAAGCTCAAGACTCCTTGGAGTTCTTGTGTAGATTTACATTTCCCCCCCCAAATATCAAGACTGATTATATGTCTTTGTCAAAAATGACCAATGATTTATGTATTGAAAGATTTTAGGGATGAAATAGCCCTTCCTGGCATTTCTGTTATGAGAAATACCCATTAGGTCATGATGCTTTCGATAACTTTCTCCTCCTTTGGTAACAGTTTTAACTTTTCTTCCACTTGAGAACATGTAAAGACTGGATAGTGGACAAAATGTGCAGAACCTGCAGGTACAACAGTGCAGAAGTATATTATACTGCTGTGTAGACAGGTTTTACACACATCATGTAAAAGGTTTATTTTACACATATAATGCAAAAGGTTTGCATTACTGTTATTCTATTTGTATCACTTCTCCTTCTTCCTATCATTCATTCTCTGGTTCTGAAAAACTCAAAGCAACCTGAGTGTTTTCTAAGTTTTGTAAAATAAGTTTATAAATAATTACAGTGACTGGAGATTTGCAAGAATGCAGCAGATTCATGTCACCACTACAGTAGCACTTATGCTGTGTATTAAGTGTATCTTCCAGGGCAATCTTAGGAAAGATTTGTCCACCTCAATTAGGAAAAGAGGACTGAGTGTAAGCGAGGAGTTTTAGACATGCAACTGCAATAAAAGTACATTTTTGTTGTCTGGTTAACTCTTTCTTTGTCACTTGACTTTTCAGATATTACTACCTGGCTTTCAAGGCACACGAGACTCCTCTTGGTAGCAGAGAAAATTGTCTTGTCATTTTGGAAAAATCTAAACTAGACAACTGTATTCTTGGGAAAACCAAGGTAGAGCATGCTGATGTCTTCTCAGGAGTAGTGCCTCCTTTTAGCAGAACATGTCTAGTATTGGTTTGCTGAGTACAGTGTACTTGAAAAAAAGGAGCAAGAAACTTGTTTCAGTTGGCTGGCCTCCTAGGTAATGGAGGTGCCCTCCAAGCCAGGTGAGTTTGTTCTGCAGGAGGAAGGATGCCTTCAGGACCTCCCCAAGCACCCTCCACATGTGACTGCTTTGGAAAGAACAGAAAAAAGACCCTGAAACAAAAAAGCACGTAACATGATGTGCCTCTTGAAGTATAATGTGGGTAAACAGTATTCTAATAACAAATTCAGAATTTATCTTTCTACTGTCCAGATAGACTGTATTATAAAATTATTGATACCTGAAAACACCTCCCTGACTGATTTACTTTGTATGGGGGTAAATATGTGGCCTCTTTTTTACAAAGGGATATTATAATCAGTGGAATAATGAAATTCCACAAGCAGACTGAAATCAAGATTCGCAGAATTGCTAAAATTATCTGCAACTTTTTTTTCCCCAACAACAGCGGCATAAAGGAGTTTGAATTGAGACTAACCAAATAGCAATATATAAGAGGTTATGCTATCACCTGCATGTAATACTGAATTTATTGTCCCATTTCAGGTTTTTCTAAAGTATTACCATATAGAGCAGTTAAATTTGTTCCTGCGAGAAGTTATAGGTCGAGTTGTATTAATGCAAGCCTATGTCAAGGGATGGCTTGGAGCAAGGAGGTACAAGAAAGTGAAAGAGAAAAGAGAAAATAGTGCTGTTACCATACAGTCAGGTAAATATTCACATTTCATATTTCACTGTCTGTCTTGGCATTCCAAGTTGTTAAATTACATGTACATTATTCATTCATTTGCCTTAATTTATTATGAAATCAAAGTAACTAGAGGTACTTTTCAGCTAATTGATGTAAATATTGTAGATTTACTTCTAAGGTGTTAACTTAGTAAGGGGTAATGTATTTATTTAATATTTTAGATGTAATGCCTGTGCACAAAATGGATGTATTTTAGGTGTTCCTACACTAGCACGCAGCACATTCCCCCTTCTCCACCCCCCATCCCCCCCGGCCTCCTTCCCCACTTCCTCATGTTTACCAGAACGTGAGATAATGTAAATCACTGGGTGGGCCTGAGAGGCTGATCAGCACTAACATAGCAGACTTCCTTATCGATATAAGGAATTTGAGGGAGATGTGTGAGGAGGGTAGTTCTTGTACTGCCCATGGGTGTCCAGTGATCGTGCACCTTTGCCTTTTGGATTACGACACCAATGAGCAGATGCTGACAATTAAAATTTGGACGAGTGATGCAGTGTTTGAAGTTGTGGGACTGTGAACGCTGTAGTTGTGAACCTGGAGTTCAACATGTGGGTGGGTGAGCAAGAGGTACTGTGAGGGGGGGAGTGGAGTGGCTACGGAAGGAGGGATGAAAGTTGCAGCACATCGCTGACTCTGTAGCACTTCCTTAAATAAATGTAATTTCCAGCACATGGTTTTGTATTTTTAGCCTGGAGAGGATATGAAGCTCGCAGGAAGTACAGGGAAATAAGGAACAGAAGAACTGATGCTGCTATACATATTCAAGCAGGTAATTAAAACATTATTTCATTTGCCAACACCTATTTTGCTGTGAGTGATTTCATATGTCAATGTTTGTAGCCAAGAGAAATATATACACTCCAAACAAAAGTGGTGCTTCTGATCATTTGGTGTTCGGGATCAGATGATACCAGTGTCAGGTATCCGGCACTTGTGAGTTACTTATAAGAGTCTCTCTGAAAGGAAGGCCTGCTGATTAAATACTCTTGAGCTGATTCTCTACGATTCTGAGTAGGTATGTGTAGAGCTGGTATGAGGATTTATTTGACTAAAAGCGTGGATGGAAGGCACTGGGCATATATTTCTCTATGTTGAGCCCTGATCCTGGGAAGTTGCGAAGTTTTCGTTTCAATGGCTTTCTGAGTTTGCCAGCTCTGGCCATTCCTCTGACTTTCTGCCAGACTCCTATGTAGCCTTATCAATGTGAGTTTGAGCAAACTTTAAAGAGATGATTGGAGAAACAGGCCCACAGGGTTGTGTAGATGTCTAGTAAAGAGCAGGGTACCATATGGCACAGAAATCCAAGAAGTGGTGCTGTGAACTCAGTGCTGGTTTCACACGCTGCCTGCATGAAGCAGCCTGTACACGGTCCAGCCTAGTGGACCTTCTCTGTCCAGCTTCAGGTGACAGACTTCTGCAGCAGGTTAGAAATGAGCAAATGTGTGCACTGATCAACCACGGTACCACCATTATCCTTCCATTTGCCTGGTCTGTAATTCCATGAGCTTTATTGCTGCCTTTTCTGTATTATATCATATGAAAGTTAGGAAGGATCTGTTCTGCATATTCTTTCCCTTTATACTGTTCTCAAGCCATTTACTGTAAATCCAGCATTTTTTTTTTTCTTTTATCTAAATCTGCTACTCTGAAACTGAGCATCACTGTGACTTTAATCAGAAAGAAAGCTGAATACCACCAATCTGGTATGGATAGGAACAAACTACCATTAGAATTAAATAGTGATTTATAGCTCTGTTTGCATACTGTCCTGTATAACCATAAACTGTAGTTCTCGGATCAAATGCATAATACTCTTAAACAGAGAACAGTTGTGAACAAAAGTACTTTTTTAACCATTAAAACAAGCACTAAAGATGGCATGAACATGTTCTCCTCCTCTTCCCCTCCCTTGCGGTGTTACCTGCTGTTGTTTTCAAGATGGCACAGATTGCAGCTCTTCAGGCAGGACTCTCAATGTCCTGTAAGGTACTGTTATTTTCTGCAGTATTTGTTACATTTACAATTGGCCGTGCCTGAACTGCAGTTTCTCACTTTTACAGTGCCTTTGCAGTAGGAAGTGAAACACTTGGCCTCTTGCACAACCATTTGCATTAGTAACTTCAAGAAAGCAGCTGGAGTATTCTGAGGTTTGCAGCCATGCGAGGGCTCGGGAGCCGCGTTGCTCCGTGCATGCCGCCGCGTGCGCCCGGAGAGCAGAGGCAGCGGGAGCGGCCGGCAGGGCAGCCGCACGGGCCGCGGCCCTGAGTCTGCGGAGCTGCGGCCGCGAGAGCCTCCCCCTGCCCGCAGGCACCTGAGCGGAGCTGCCCCTGGCCCAGGGTTGTGGGGTTGTGTTCATCAGGCCGGCTGCTCCGCCTCCTTCCGCGCCGCCTTAGCCGAGGTGCAATAGCAGTAGTAATAGTGGGAATAATAGTAATCCTCAGCACGTGTTATCCCTAGCCTTTATAAATTTATATTTTGAGTTGTCTATTTTTGAATTGACTTTCGAGTTGAACATTCTTTTTGAGCACATTTGCCCTTTTTTACATGTCAATCATTCTGTGTTCTTTTTTTTTTCTTTTTAAACGCAAGTTATTTTTGTTTTTTAAAAAAGCTCATGTTTGCAAATAATGACATTTTCTGGGTTTTAAAATAGTCTATCAGTCTTTCTGATCAATCCTTCTGTTGTTTATGTTGCACTGCCCAAGTGTCTAGTGACAGGAGGGAGACAAATGCAAGCCTAAATCTCTCTCCTCCTTTCACATCTTCTAAGATAAGTGTGTCATTAAAGGCAGCTTTTCAATAAGAAGGACTATGATCACCACCCTCTTTTTTTTTTTTTTTTTTTTTTTTTAATGAACAGGCAGTGAAATAAATCGATTGTCACCCGGACATTAGCAGAACCATCTAACTAAAATAGATGTACTTCCCTCTATTTTCCCTCCTCCTTCTCCTGCCCCCCGCCTTCTTCCCCCCAAAGAAAGCAGGCCTTGAAATTTAGGAAGCATTTGGCTTACATGTTTCTACAGAACAGCGCATATTGAAATTTGTTTTCCTTTCATCTCTTTCCCAATAAAAGCAGCCGCTCGGCTTATCCCTTTAGCTTCCTCAGAACTTCCTTTCAGAATTCCCGATCTATTACAGCACATTCACATACCAGAAACAAGATGCCTTTTCATGCTGTCAACCTTTTTCATCTGAAATGTAAATTAATTCTTGCTGGTACGCTTTGACAGAGATCAAAGTAGGGGTATTAACCTTATTGGGCCTTCTCTTCATCAGAATCAGTTCCAAGGACTGCAAGAGTAGTGTTAGGAGGCCAGTCTTCACTGTTATCTATGGCCCTCCTCCAGGCAGTGCTCTGTCTACAAGTCAGCATTTCAAAGGCGCTGATTTCTTTTGTAAATGACCTTATCATTACTTTAAACTGTGTGAAAAATGATTTGCCTGAATAATTCTTGCAGGATTATCCTGCTCATTTTAATTGTGGGGGGACTTCATTCAGATTCCAGGATATTGTTTAAGTGGTTTTGACAGTGAGTGATCATAGCCTGATATAAAGGGGGAATACAGCTCCTGATTGGAAACCTCTTGACTTGTTCAGATTGTTCATTTCTTGCAAGTCAGTCTTTGAGGTAGCTGCATTTGCATTTTAAAAATAAACAGATGCCTTTCAAATACATGAGCTGGAGGTCTGGAGATCTCTGTGGGCCCAGCAGTTCACTATCCATTGATGAAATGTTGGAAGAGAAAACAAACTTACAAAAAAAAAAAAAAAAAAACACTTCATAGTATACATGAGGATACATTTCCTAAGTGTATAATATTAAATGAAAATAAGTCCTTATTTTAGATGGGAGAAAGTACCCTTGCTAGAAAACAAAATGTTTGTGAATTTAAATTAGGTGGGGGAAAACAAAGCTACCCTACTTCTTCATATCAACATTACAAGTTCTCAGACACACAGATATTCCTAGACTCCTGGATAAAATCTTCAGGGTATACAAGATCCTACCCACATCTTCAAGACAGTTTCCCAAACTGTGAAAGTTAGGTGATAACTTTTTACTTAGGAGGATTTTTTTTACTTTACTTACATTGTGAAGAATGATTTTGTGTATTTGAGATAGTGATACTTTGCACTGTATTTTCTTACAATTAGCTTTTGTGTATATAAATGTATATTTTTAAAGTCTACATAAAAGAAAAAGATTTTGTTAAAATAATTTTTCAAGTTATGTTGCAGATTCACAGCTGGTTTAAATCAGGGTATATCCACTGAATCATCTGGCTGAAATGTCGCTACACTGATTTACCTCACATGCAAGTCTCATTTAATATTTCTTTGTATTAGGATAATGTATTAATTAGATTCTTTTTAAAGATAAAGTACAGTTATAAGAATACATTTTCTTGTTATGAGAGCGTGCATCTCCATGTAGAGTGACTTTTCTCCCCAAAGACTTAAGGAAGGACTTTGGTCTGTCTATTCCGTTTGTGAGCTGACAGTGCCAAAATGCCAAATGAGTGGTGCATGCGATTCACTTAGATGCGAGGTGACATCACTGAATTCATTTTAATTAGGCCCGCTTTAGCCATCTGGAATATACTGTGCAACTCGGTCTAGGACTGAGTTTAACTCTGCTTCCAGAGGTGAAAGGCAAATGACTAATCCATTGAGCCACCGTCTCCTCCTCCAACACGTGCTCGCACACTCACCATATGTCACATTGTATTGGAAAATTCTTTATGAAGAACCCAAGATTTGGGCTCTTTCTTTTAATAAAAAGTGGTGGATGTTCAGGGAGAAACCAGAGGAGGCCTCCCTTTGTAAAGTGCTGTTTCTTCTGCCCATTCAAGATTTAATGCTGACATCAATGGCAGACAGGGAGGTGTTTCTTGAAAACTATATTTTCCTGTATATTTATATGAGTATGTATGTCTGTGTGTGTGCATATATTCAGCTAATACAGTTGTATAGACCTATGAATTACATGAGGAGAATGTCCCCAGAACTTCTAAGCATTTCATCCAAAAGAGAAAATCTTTTTATTAGAATTTTCCAGGAAGTAACAAACACTAAGTAACAAGTCTGGTTTTACTTTATTATTTTGTTCATTTTATTCTTTTTAAACAACATTTTCAATATAAGAACCACTGAAGAGATGTATATGTTTCTCTTAATTACAGCTGACTCATGTTATTTTGATCTCACATTGAGGTCAAATCAAACTTTTTTGTGTGTGCATGCAGGCTGCACAGCTTTGGTTGACTTTAACCAAGGGGGCACAGTTTGTTTTGTCTGCTACGAAATGTCATACCTTCCCAGGTGAAAGAGGGGAGATGTTCATGGGACCCTCGTAAAGGATACGGCTTTCTATCCCTTGTACCATTCATTTGAATTAATTTGGCATGGAGCAAAGGATCTTATCAATGGGCTCTAAATCCTCCCTCTTATTGGTAGTTAAGCTGCCCAATGCTCATTTAACTGGGCAGCTTGAGAAAGTCCCATGCTCTTTGTGAAAAAAACAGGGTTGAAATTTTTGATTGCAAACTACCATGCTCTTACAACACCTTCTCCTCCACAAAGTACGAGCTTTCATTTCCAAGTTGCTACATGTTGTTTTACGTGGTATTATAGTTTTAAATGTTTGTCTTTGTGGCAGATTTCTATTTAATGTGATCTTCTATGACTAACAATTATTCCTTTAGCTGTTTTAAAATACTTATTCCTCTCCTTTCTAGGTACTTACATATATACCTGTAATTGTTTAGCTTTGATCTTTCTACTCTGTGCTTCACAATTCACTCTGCCACCATATAGTTCCTGTGGGAATCAGAGGAAAAATGCCTGGACTTTTGCTAACTGCAATTGTGCAGCCTCGTGTGGCATGTATGTGCCTTAGTAATTAGACCTTAGATTATAGATTCTTACCTGAAAAACACTGCACTTCAAAATCTTCCCAGTAGATATATTCTTTGTTTGTTACCTGCTGAAGCTGATGGAAAACTCATTTTGTGTGAGAAGCAGTCAGTATAAGAACTAAAGATTCATGTCCTGAATTGTGGCACATATGATATTTAGCACCAAGTGACCAATAATAAGAGTGCTAGAATTCACTTCAGTTCTCGTTTGCTTTTCCCAAGTTCAGATCCTCTCATCATTAGCTATAAAGATCAGCATTAAAGATACTGTTGCTGTATGTTTGCAGTATAGAATGCATAAGGTGAAAATGAGGTGACAGCTGGTAATCGTTCTTCTTCAATGATGCAGTGATTGTTCACGGAGCACTAGCAACATGAGTCTGCTAATTTCACACTCTTTGAGCCAAGTGCTTAGTGTCAAAACCAGCACCAGTCAGTAATGCAAATTGCTGTGATGGAGCAGCTTCCCGGCCTCCCAGCGCCCCCAGTAGAATTCTCTGCATATGCATTTCTTTTGAAACATTGTAGATCCACCTAATAAATGCTGAAAGGATGCAGTCCTGCTGCATGAGGCTTTTGAGACATGTTTGTTTATCCTGCTGCTTCAGTTATCCCATGAGTTAAAGACAAGGTAGGAAAAATACAGCCGTTACCTGGCAGATTCAAGGTGTTCTAGAAGAATGTTTGAAACCGGATTGTGAAGATTTTGAAATTACTGGTGGAAAGAACAGACAGTGTGAAAAACTCCGTGAAATCAGGTTATATGTACGTGAAATGGGTTATATGTACTGAGTTAGAGGAAGACAAATGTAATATATTGCCAATATTTAAGTTTCTGAGGGAAAAAAAAATCATAATAGATATCACAAACGCACTGAAAGCGTTGATGAGTGGCAAGAAATTTTTAAGAAGAAAGTTGATGTTCAAATAATTCATTTATTTCAGTGCTTCTTTATCTTTGCAATAGTGCACAGATCCTCAGCAGGTTTCAGCTGCAGAGATCTGGCTGCTGGCCAGCTGTCTTTGCTGCCAATATCCGAGTAGGCTGCTTGTCTGGTCAGTAGGGGATAGTTAAGGATTGGAAGGCTGATCGCACAAGGCAAGTGAGCGTTTGCCTCCTCTCTGCCAGGCAGGCAGGCAGGCTTTTCCACTCTGATTATTAAGGGCAGAAAGTTCCTCGGCCTCCTGATACCTGCGCTCTGTGTTCAGTACAACACCTCAGCAGGTCCAGCTTCTGTCATGCCTTCTGTAAAGTGAAGGGTTATATCACGTGAGTGAGAATTTGTAGGCAATTTTTGCTCTAGAAATTTCAGTAGCACTGAAATGCCAAGATTATGTTCATGCATTGCATTGTCACTGCTTGGACTGTTAAAAAAAGTCCTTTTTTTTTTTTTTTTTTAGCACAACTACACAGACTTTTGCAGAGGTTATGGCTGAAAAGAAGGCATTAAACACCATATGGGAATTAAAATAGAAAGGAGATCAATAACAACCCTTTTCTAAGGAAGTACTGATCAGGGTAGCTTAATTTCTTACATCATCTTTATATTAAGCAAAAACTTGAATGAGAAGCCAAATTTGGAAGAGTAGTTAAATGACATAAAAAGAAAATTCATGAATTATTCTGTAGATTGATAATAATTGAGAAACTGCGATTCTATAGGGACTTTAGTCTCGTCTGTTAGGTAATGCCTACTTCCATAGGGAATTCCATTTAAACAGGATGTTTTCATAAAATTGAAGTCATGAGACACAGGGAAAACTTCATAATCTTCTGATGAGCTTCTCTGTCACCCAGTTTATTCTCCCTCCTGCTCTCCCCATGTAATCTGTGTTGTCTTGTCTCACATCCTACGTGGGATTGCCCTCAACCACACTCCTGTGCTGGTCCCCCATCCCATTGGTGTCAGTGAACCCAAGGTTCTGAGTGAGAGGGCTCTCTTCCTCTTCCTCAGCGTGAGCAGTCCCCAAACTGGCTCTGTCTGTGTGATGTGCACATAAACTTTTTCTGGACAGTGATTTTTTTCTTCGAAGTCATAATGTTTCCTCATATTATCTCCATTTTTCTTTGATATACTGTCTCACTGTGTCTCAGTTGCATTGCTGTTGAACTAACAGCTCCTCTCCCTTATTGTTGTCAGACTTCTTGTTCAGCAACTTCTTGTTGTACGTTTAGACTGTGCTATTGCTACCATATCTATTCTTTGCCATTGAAGCCTTTCTGTCCTTTCATCAAGGTTTTGCTTAGGATAGTGTTTGATACAAACCACTGAAAAATTACAGATTCACAGATTCACAGAATATTTAAGGTTGGAAGGGACCTCTACAGATCATCTAGTCCAACCTTCCTGCTCAAGCAGGCACACCTAGAGCATGTGGCACAGGGTGGCATCCAGGCGGGTTTTGAAGACCTCCAGAGTAGGAGACTCCACAACCCCCCTGGGCAGCCTGTTCCACTGCTCTGTCACCCTAACAGTAAAGAAGTTGCTCCTCACCTGGAGACGGAACTTCTTATGCTTCAGCTTGTGGCCATTACCCCTCGTCCTATCGCTGGCCACCAGTGAAAACAGCTTGTCCCCTTCCTCCCTGCATTCTTCCTTCCTGAACTTATACATATTAATCATATCCCCTCTGAGCCTTGCAAAAACCTTGCAATACTTTCTGAAGCCTTTCCAAAGTGTAACGTGTATCATTATCTGTGATATGTGTGAGTCATGATGGGGTTTATTACCAACTGCTCACAGTGCCAGGATTTCAGACAATATCAGTCAGATAAAAGTCTAAAAGTACTTAGTTAGTTAGGTACCCAAATCCAAAAACATTACATGGAAATAAAAAATGTAGTTTTTTTCAAAATATTATTCATTGCCTTTTTATTCATCATTTCATTTCACTGCACACTTCCTGCTTCATTTGGTATTTGTAGTGGCTACTTCATTCTGCTCTCTTTTTTTTTTAATGAATGGTATAAATTCTAATCCATGTTCTATTTTTTTTTTTTTGAAGCATTTATATGAGACATTTTGAATATTCCATTATAGTTACAGCTAATTGAAAAATAGGAGAAGACATTATGATTTTTTTGCAATTGTTCTTGAATCTTCCTCCCCCAGCTTCCCCACCTCTACAGCAAAGCAGATAAAACTGAGCATTGTATAAACTTCTGACTTAAATCATGGGAGTTGTGCTTGAACAGTGTTGGAAACATTTTTCTGCTAGGTATTTTAATACATTCTAAGATGAATTCCTATTTAAATTAGGTATGTTCTCATTTCAAGGCCCCTTTTCCCTGCCTTGGCTGGGGCTGGTGCTTTCTGTACCAGTGAGAATAAAATAAGGTCCTGTGTAATTTCCAGCTACTGCAGACATGGCAAGCATTAGACCTGCTCCCATGAGGTGCTACATGCTCCTTCTCTTCACTGATGCAGTCACAGTTTGAAGGCACTCTGGACTGCAGAGCCAGTTGTCAGTCTGTGCTTTGGATTCTGGAGAGTTGCACTTTGATTTATAACTGTGTTTTTTTAGCTTTCAGGAGATACGTTGTTCGTAAAAACTGCACAAGATTGAAAAACAGGCCTGGTTGTGTAGCAGATCCTCAACACACGAGCAGCTGCTCTGCTTCTGATTTTGACTGTGAAGAGCATTGGTGAGTTGAATCCTATGCTGCCCATTATCTAAAATTCCATTTTCAAAGCCGTAAGAAATCTGAAATGGCCACACTGAAATGAGCAGGCATTTTATGGTGATTCAGCCATTTCTTTGGAAACTTCAGCATTTTTTGAATATGAGTCCTGTGTCTGAGTCAGTTCCTTCACTGATTTAGTGATCTGGATATTCTCCCAGTTAGCAGAATTAGAGCTGTTTGCTGTCCTGTGTTTTCCTGGGTCACTGTCTGTTCATATACACTTCTCAGAAGCACCCAGAGCAATCCTGACTGCAGGCAGAATTGCAGGTGCTCAGTGTTTCAGAATTGCCTGCAGTGCATTTTACTAAATTCTCAAGCACATGAAGTTATCCTTTTATGTCTGTAAAGCTCCATGCAGACCAGCAACGAGATAGAGAAAAAAAAAAGAAAAAAATCTGTAAAAAGCAGGTGGACAAGTCACTGACAAAAAATCCCAGAAATATCGTAAACCTTAATAGCAATACCAGCCTCCTTGTAGAGGAAAGATATTTTATCCTCCTTTATCAAGGGGATCGCTTCAGCCAAATGTCCCCCTGACCTTTCCTTTGAGAGGGAACTTGTACAGCTTTCGCTGCTGTCAAAGTCTGTCTTGCCGAGTGTTCTCCCAGCAGAAGTGGCTGATTTTGCTAGATGGATCCCTGCCTTTGCTTAACAAGTGACTAAGAGTTATGAGATGTCTCCTTCAGTGGGATGGGCAAACACACTTCTCAATACCTATTGCAGTTCTTATTTCTGAGATTTTAAATGCTTTCCATATATCATATAAATGTAGGTCCTGTTACATCCCTGAGTTTTCTGAGAAAATCAATGACTGATTTGATGGCAACTAGGTGCATTTATTTTTTTGAAAAGAGATTTTTTTTTTAATAACTTGGAAAAAAAAAATTAAGTGTTTTTTTCCCCCTCAAAAATGGTATTTTTGCCTTCTCCAGTGAACATTTAGATATGTTAACTTCCATGCTTCCTTTGGTTCGGCTGAATAGCACCTACTAAATGCTCTGGTGTGTTCTTATGGGACTCTGTAGCCACCTGCATCTTTCCAGGCTAATAATGCTCCATAATCTCTCCTGCACATCTGGTTTCAGCAAGAAAAAGATTCAAATAGGGACTTAAAAAAAAAAAAAAAATTCTTTGTATTAATACTCAGGGAAAGGAATGAGCACATTGCAATTCACCATCCCAACTCTGTCTTTGGGTTGCCTTACTGCTCACTGGGGCAGTACCTTGTCCAGGTTATGATTCCTTCCATGTTCACGCAGCTCCTCCTGTTCCCTAAATACTTGGGCTTTGGGATGGGGAGGCTGGGGACGGGTGTATTTTGTGATCATTTTAGAACTGTGATGGCAAGGTAGTCTGTTCTGCAGCCTGCAGTGGGTGTTGAAAGCAGGACTGTCTCTTATCAGTCCTGTTTGATATCCCAAATTGTGATTATTTACAATGTAAACAGGCATTTTACCTTCTTTTTATTGTTATAGAGCTTTCACACAGACTTGTTTAGAAACACAGAGGCTCTTTAAAATTTTGTCTAATTTTTGTGCATAACCAGGCATCGTTTCCATCTTTTTTGCATTAGGCAGTTTTTGGAATCCCTTGTTGCTTTCCAGATAGATGTATTTTTCTGGATTAAGACCAGTTTGCATATCTCTATATCCCATGAGGCTCTTGAACATTTTATGGATCAGTAGCTGTTCAGGCAAATTTACTCTCTATGGAACACAAAGGTACAGATGTTAAAAGATACCCAGGCACCAAACTTCCTCTGAAACCAATGTCTAAATGTCTTTAAATTTCTGGTCTGCAGGTGTTTGTGTAAAATACATTGGCCCTTTCCATAGACCTGATTGTTGCAGTCATTAAGATAGACAATTAAATTTATAACCTTTTTTGTCTAGAGTTGTTAAACTGTTATTACCAATGGCCATTCTAAGGTTTAAGACAAAAATACATTGTAGAATATTTGCCAATCCTGTACATTTTCCAAAAATGACCTCAGGTTCCACTGATGTCAGTAGGACTTGAAAATGTCCAGCCTTTCACAGGTGATGCTCAGAATCTTAGCACCGAGTGCAGTAACTTCCCTTAAGTGAAGCCTCCCTTTACGTGCAGCGCTACTGGGCTGCTGTGTTTGAAGCACTTGACTGTTCAGTCCTGCAGGAAACTTGTAGGAAAAAGGAAGGCTGAGAAAAAATAGGGCAGATGTTTAACACAGTAGCTTGTAATTTTTCCCTAGAGAAGGCAGCCTCACTGTGACTTCACATACCCTTGAATTAACTTGTATAATAATAAAATACTCTCTTTGCTGCTCTATTCTGTTCTTTCTGACGGCTTTGGAGAATGAAAAATGAGCTGAGAAGTACTCAGAGTCAGAAAGCAAAATCATATAGAGACCTGCTTTGTTGTATACACAGGAATACATTATTTATGCATATAAATGTATGACAACCTGCTGCTTTTTCTAAAACATGTTAAAAAATCCAATATTATAATATACATAAAGTACTCGGTTTTACTAATTAATGAATTTAATTAATTAAGAAGAAATGGACATGGGGATAGGTACTTAAAAAAAAATAAATTCCCTCAAGGAAATTGAATTTCTACACTTAGTCCACACTCTTCAGTTAGTGAATGCAGAATATGAGCAAACTCAACCTAATAAATTACATAAAATGCTAATGAAATGCACACATTTGTGATTATTATTGCATATTAAATATTTCCTGCATTTGTATGCCTAATTTGAAAACAAGTATTAACTGTGCTCAAATGTAGAAATCTTTCTCGTATGAAGCTCAGTAGCTTCATACAAGATACAAGTATCTAATTACATATTAAGAATTAGCAAATATCTATATTAGGAATATAAATAAGTATGGAAAATAACATGACCATTAGTAGAAAAGCAGCTTTGTCTCCTTGAAACACTGTTTTTTCATTCAGTTCCATAGAATGGTGGAGTTGCCCCTGACCCCTTCTGTCCAAACTGGGTCAGGGGAATAACCGTACACTTGGGGGACTGTTACTGTGACTGGGCTCCTGCCAGAAACTGATCTGCGCGTGTGACGTCTGCCAACCCCCTTCCAGACACCAGCAGCCACTTAGGGGAATCCGCAGGCCTGAGCGGCACAGAGTGACCAGCTCGCTGGCTGGCTGCTGAATATCACAGTGTAGGGGCTAGACCTGTGTCCATGGCCCAGGGCTCATTGAACTGCGGTGTCTTTGTGGCACCTCAGCACCAGGAGACGTCCATGTGTCTGTGTGGAGAATTAGGAGCTGTAGCGGGGCTCTCCTGGTGTGAGCCTCGCGTGGAGCAGCACTGCTGCTGTGCCTGGAGGCAGGACCTCAGGTGACGGACATGGTTGCGTTGGGATCAGCAGCAGCCATTGCAGGAACCACAGACAATTTTGCTGGGAACACCTGTAGGGTCTGCCAGTGTGAGACCTTCTCTAGTTATGTGGCCAGTTTTATCAAGACCTCATCACCCTGACTGCCCCTTCCTGAGAGCTACCCAGGCTGATGTGAACAGACTGGTGATACAGGCTGCAGCAAGGGAGATGTGGGGCCTCCCTTTGAGAAGTTGCTAAAGTTCAGAGGTCAGCAGGAACTCAGGAAAGGAAAAGCACCCAAGGGGAAATGTTGGGAATCATCCTGGTAGGATGCAAAGCTGTGTTCTCCAGCACAGAGAGGCCAGTGAGGCAGCACACAGTTTGTTTTCACTCACATAGACCCTGGTAGATTAGCATATTGACATGATGTCCCATATGTCATTAAGTGCAGAGAGAATATACATTTCAGAAACTAGTCACATGAGCACAAATCAACTCAAAAGCTGACTTGATGTAAATTAAACTGCTCCATGTAACAATTCTTGTATCTTCTACTGTGCTTTCTTTGACCTGATCTGCAGTTTGCCTCTTGTTAAAGTAATGTTCTGCTCAGTCAGAAACAAAATATTTCTCAAATTCTTTTGTTTAAAAGGAAAAGAAAAAAAATCACCACATTAGTGTGCTGTCATTCTCTGTGGATAGCTGCTTGGAAGAGCAGCATCTCCACATTTTAAACTTATTTTTTTTTGAGAGCCTTCAGAGAAATACCATCAGGTCCTGGTGATTTACTGCTTATGCCTTCCACAAATTGCTTCATAGTTTTCTCCTTGGATAATTTCAGTGTCTGTCAGACTGCACTGTGATTTCTTGTAAAACAAGTCTTTGGATAGGAATTTTAATTTCTTCCCACAGCAAAAGCTGGTATAAAATATTCTGCTTTCCTTTAATTGCTTCACTTTCTTAACTACAACTGTATTGCTTGTGATGGAAGTAAGAGGTCAGCAATTTTGGTGACATGCAGTGCAACATGTTGGGTCTGATTCTGCTGTCCTATCAACTGCTAACTACTCTAATTACTCATGACTTACAAGAGTTTAAATGGCAATAAAATTTTAGGGAGTTTTCTTTTGTAATAATTTCTCTCTTCCTTTTCCATTTGAACTTTTTTCTTCTTCCCACACTTGAAGACTTAAAGGTTTATTCTGTTCAGAAACAAATTATTTTTGCAAAAATGAATTGTTCGTAACATTTTCAAAAACCTTTAGATAACAAAAGTCAAAATTCCATCTACTTCTGATGAAGCTTACATATATAATGGTCCAAGTCACCCAAAAACACAGTTACTTTTTTCTTTTTTTCATCAGTGAAAATTATTCTACTAGTTTTATGCTGCTGTTTTGGTGCCTGGATTCTATACATTACACGGAAGTGTAATCACTTCCTTCCTAATTCAATGACTTATAGACAGTCCAAAAATGAAGACTGAATTGCTACAGCTCGAAAGCTGAACATTCAGCAGCAAATTGCTTTTTTTGCCAGACAGAAACCAGTTGCATGAACCTGCATCTCCTACATCCTTCCCAAGGTGGATGTGCTCCCTGGGTCTTGTCTTCCTGTCTTAGATGCTGCTTTTCTACTCAAGTGAAAAAGATAAATTTTTGGAAGTCATCAGAAGACAAGTTTGAAAATATTAGCCACAATCCTTGCTTGGCTTATATCGACCAGCTACCGCTTTGCTGCCCTCCTAATTACATTGCAGTTGCTACTGTTTAATTAACGATCTCTTTTTCTTAGGCCAGGTACAATTCCAGACAGGTTTTTAGAAGAGTTCAGAGCTTAATTTCTGTCATCTGTATTTGATGTCATGTTTTCAGCAGTGTTCCCAATTTGACATCTAAGAGGCCAGTTTTTATACAGAGTGCTCTTTCTGTCATTCTTCCAGACAGATATTTCAATGATTCTTCCAGAAAGATTCGCAAGTGGTCATTTCTCTGTATGTGTATGTAAGAGGCAAACTTTTCTAAGAAAACCTGTGAATTCAAGTAATTTCATAGTAGGTTTCATAGTAGTTCAAAATGCAATAGTTGTATTTCAGTTCCTGGTTGAATTACGGTGCTACTTGACCTTGAATGTTTTCTTGTGAATCCTGTAGTCTTCCTTTTTTCTTGTTATTATCTAAGCTACTACTCTCAAATAAAATTAATGCTGCAGCATCCTTAATCTTAACAGCACTTTTAGTAATTTCTGGGATAATGGAAGAGGGGAAAGTGTGAATACAGATCATTTTCTGATCGGATTGAACTTAGAGACTAAAGGCAGGAAAACTTTGCAGGAGTTCTGCTTGCAGCATACCTTGGAAAGTAGCTTAGAGATCTAACAGAGTGTTCAGACTTTCTAGGTGTTTGGGGTTTTTTTTTTTTTTTTTTTTTTTTTTTCTGGATAAGCATGGAAAGAGCTTTTTTTTTCCTTGCTTTTTTTTTTCCTTGCTAAGTTCTAAATTCCCAATTAGCACAGAGCTGCTCAGGAGGAATCCTCAGGACTCTTCCTAGACCCTTTTCAGCAGCTCAGATTCACTGCAGTTTGGAGGTGTGGGGAAGGTACTATGCATTTTGCAAGGACGATATCATTCAGAAATTCTGTATTTCAGAATATACCTCTTATTTTATGGTAACCATAAGTATTGCTCAGTAGGTATTTATGAAGAATCTGTTACTAAGGGATATCACTTCATGACATTCAGATTTAAGGAAGTGAGTGTATTCCCTCCACCAGGGCCACGATGACGGCCTTGAGGAAAGGACAAGGTAGGCCCTGATCTTTCTGAAGCTCCAGCCTAGGATTTTTCCTGATCTGTTCATGGCTCATGGCAGTGAATTCCCAATTGCTGATAAAAAATTTGAATAACTGGCAGTTTCTATTAATTAGATTTTTTTTTTTTTTCTTCTTGAAACAGTGGCTCTCATATCTCTTGGTTGTCTTCTGCTCAGACAAGAACAAAAGCTCTCTCTTGAGTTTATGCCATTGTGTGTATGGACAGAACAAACTCCTTTAGCATTTTCTGGAGCAAGAATTCCCCCTTCATTTCATTACAGTTAATTTTAACATATCATAAGAAGAGCCTAGTACTTCAGAGGCCACATTTTCCCCTCTCCTCTCCAATGTTCTTGGAGCACTGGCTGGACCCAGTAAAAGTCACAGAGAGTTTGGCAGCAGACAGGATTTGCCCTACGTGCCGCTGCAATTATCCATAGGTAAAGAAGGTGAGGATCACAGCAAGCCATGTAGGAAGCCAGTGACAGTGGTCGCTACTCTGCGTTACTGACGCGCTCCCGGGCTGCCCCAAGGGTTCTGTGTTCTGGAATTTGTCAGGCAGAAAGTCAGAAATGTCTGTCGTGTGTTTGTGAATGACAGCCAGTAATGATGAAGTACAAATTTGTGGCAGCAACAACTCGTTCTGTTGGAGGAGTCTCCAGCAGTCTGTGTGTTGTGCCAAATGCGGCCTAACTAACGGCTTTTCTAGCCAGCAACACGGTACCTTGAGGGGCCCTGACAGATTCAAGATCTTAATTCCAGAAGCTAATTTACGTTAACTTCGGGCGCATGGAAGGCAAACTGCTGAATATTGCCTTTATACTTGAAATATTTGAACGGTGCTCTGTCCCCATTAAAGTCCTGGCAAAATCATACTGAATTTTAGATTCTTTATACTAGATAAAGATTAGTTCAAGCTGAACATTTAGATACACATCCAAAATCTGATCACTGAAAATTTAGATTATGAGTCAGTCCATTTTGGCCCTGTAAGCCATTGGCAACATTCTGGTCCCACAGCAGATTCTGATTTTGTGATTGCCCTCCCCCAGCAATATTTGAGGATTATTCATATTTTTTAGATCAGATTAGATCTGGATGATGTGGATTTTTTTTTTCAATGAGAAAGGAGTGAGAAATGAATCATCTCAAAAATATTTGTGTAATTTTGGAAAGTGTCAAGTTATCCAAATAATCCCACAAAATAAATATTATATAATTAAATATGTATATGAGAGAAGTTGTAGGGAAAAACTTAGAGATCACAGAGTACATGCACAACTGCAATGTTGAATTAAATCCATATTTTATATTTTACTATGTGAGAGGCATCCCAGAGAATGAATGAGAATTCTTTTTTTTTAAATGAATCCCTGTATTTTGTTTAAGAAAAATAACTTTGTAATTTGAAATTATATCTTAGGCAGAATATTTCTTGTTCAGGGCCAAAGAATAAAGAAAAAAAACCCTCAAACCTAACTGGAAACTCTAAACAGTAGTCACAAAATAAGAGCATTTCAGGAGAAGGAAAAAAAAAAAGGAAATTGTCGTTATTGCTTCATTTTGTTCCCGCTCTCTGGAATAGCTTATTGACACGAGCAGTACCATCATCACGGTGACTAGTTTGAAACAACTGAAGTCAGCTCCTTCAAATGGGTTAATACATTCAGACAGACTTAATTAACATAGGAGCCTAAACTCCATTGCAGTGTAAGGCTTGAAATGTTTTTTTCAGCTTCTAGGGGTAGGATAAAACAAATCTATGATCTAATATCTATGCATGGTAATATACAACCTTCAGGTTCAATAGATAATAGTTTAAAATGTTTCAAGCCCTTTTGTAGTAGTATTTTAATTGGAAGTATTTTTAAAAGATACCTTTTAAAAGGCAAATTACGCATGTAAATAGACTTCTTTAAAGTCCAGTGTTTTGTTATATTGTTACATGAGTTATTTCTATTTAATATAGCTGACTGAAACATAGGAAATGACTAGGAAGGTTACGGTAACATATGGTATAATTTTTGTTAATTGCTGAAGCGTTTTTTTATCCTTTTTATTTCCACTTCCCACTGCGAGTGCAAGGGCTGAAATGCATTCATTGTATTTATATTTATAATGCATTGAATAACTTTATATGACTGTAAAAGCTATGTAGTTCCTCAAAAAGACATTTGCCATCTATGAAAAAGTTATGATATGTGCTATAAACTGACAAGTATGACTGAAACTTAGATTTAAGATATTTTCCTAGGTAGAAATGCAAGTGCCTTTTAAGTTTCAGGAAGTTGTAAGAGGGTTGGGTGAGGAAACCTCTGGCAGACAGAAAATCTTGGATTTATTGAGACTCAGGACCATGGACTTACCAGATATTTTTTATGAGTCCTTTTTTTCTTTTAATCTGTCAGATGAAGTTTATAGCATCTTTTGGGGGATTTTGCATAACTAGAGAGCAAAATTTGTTTATGCGGACTTCAATATTGAAGAAGGCCCTTGGCTTCAAAGGCCTGCCCACAAGGATCAGGGCCTGCAGAAGGTTTTATGGTATTTTGTTTAGCTTTAGCGAGGGCAGGAGCTGGTCTGTAATGTTTGCATGGTGACATGACATGTGAGGGTAGAATAGCAAAAGGGCAGGCTAGGAATAACAGAGCTCACGCTTCCTTGCTCTGTGCGTAACCCCATGCGTCTTTGGGAGGACACAAAGCCATGTGTTTCACCTCCTCCTCCTCTGCTGTGTTTTCTAAGTGCCCAGGTTTGTGTGTGTGTTTGTGGGGTGTTTTTATTTGTGCTTTTTTTTTGTGGAAACAAAACAGTTTTTCACAGACTCTGAAGGAAAAAAGAATGTTTCATGTATAATCATCTCAAATTAATTTTAATAGATTAATTTTGAAGAATTCTCATAAACTTATTTTACCCATGTGCACTTATCCACAAATTTTTAATGACAAATTAATTGCTCCTAGGCAGTTACTGTATTTAATAACATGCGCTTCCTTATAAGAGGAAATGGAACTGGTCTGTATTTTCTCTGAATTAATCATATGTGCATATGTAGAAATTGGGGGATGGGAAATGGAAAAAAAATCAACAGATCAACAATGTGTATGCCAGAAAATCTTTTGTAGCAATGAAAAAAATTATATTATTTAAACTACATGTTTTATTTTTCTTTGCTTTTAGGCAGCAAACTGGTAACCAGTCTGCTCCTGTGGTGCCTGATTTTCTTGACAAACAAACAGAAAAGGTACTAATAAGTTCAGATTCTAAAATAACATTGCATTATAACTTCAAATTCCTGAGTCCACAGTTTTGCAGTGTGTTCGTGGCTGCTTGGCATAGTCGTCTGAACATGAAACCGTTAGTGCTGTTTTGAAGTCTTTGAGACAAAAGCCTGCTTGCTAAGAACTTTAGTTCTGTAGAAAGACAGGGAGGTACAGTGAATAAGAGAATCAAAAGGCTGGAAATTTGCTGCTGAGAATAAATGCTAGCTGCTCCCTGAGGTGATTTGTCTGTGCACTTCACTTTCTACAGATGTTAGAGCCTCTTTTTTAGTAAGGACCTGAGGTTCTTTGGTAGCACTTTGATATCCTGCTCGAATTCAATATGTGAAATGGAGGAGTCGCTCTGTGACTTGGAGCACAGCGTAGTCTTTGAAGTCTGATCCAATTTTTGCTGCTTACCATTTGATGTTGAAAGGATGAAATGGAGAAAATGTACAGTTTTTGCCAGTAACTCTGCTGAGCATATGTAAGATTAAAAAAACAAAATCCCTTGGATGATGTACTTAGAAATGTTAAGCAGATTAATACCTTCCTATAGCTTTTTTCTAAAGATACAAATTAACTATGAGAGGAAATCAGCATACAGTGCATGCTACGATTAACTGTATGAGAAATTGGGATAAATAAGTTAAATGGAAAAGGTAAATAAATGTTTGTGGCACGGGCACTAAGTCGGTGTTGCTGAAAGCCACTCGAATCTCATGTAATATAACATTAGGCATTTCACACAGAATTGTTGAAAACGTGCAGTTGCTCTATATGAGATCACAACTAAACGTTATTGTGGCAGGGTATAATCAATGCACCATTTATGTTCCTAAAACAACATTCTTTATTTTGAAAGGATTTGGATGAGATTCCTGCTTCTCCATTTATTCTAAAACACTCATTGGAAATGAATGATACACAGTCAATTAGCCAATGCCAGTCAGTTCCAAATCATCAGTTGTCAAGTCCCTTGAGATTCCACAAAAAAGGAGGTAAGAAATATATTAAAATAAGAAAGAACTTTTGTTTGCTATTTATAAGCTATTTTTCTGCATATAACTTGCTTTATATACCAATGATTTTTTTTAACAGTCCCTTGCAATGCAGGAAACATAAAGGAACTAACTTTATTCCTCATATTTTCAAGCCTAAATATCTACATAAAGAGGTAGAGGCACAGAGATTTTAAAATTTTCGAAGTAAAACATGGTTTCTAATATTGAAATACTTTTTAATGAAATCATATTGGTTTTTAAGAGTTTTAGCTTTCCTTTGTCTTCCAGCCTCAAACGTGAAAACTGGTCACAACTTTATGCCCTCACATTTGACATAAAGACAAGTTGTTTGGTTACACATGCAGAGGTTCAGGCTGCAAAACAAGGAAGTCTGCAATAATATTAATATCTATGCTGCAATGTTTTTTAGTTCTATTTGCTGGTAAGTTATTTTTACCATGGTGAAGGATCAACTTAAAAACTTGAAGTAAAGCATTGCAAAGTTTGTTTGCTTCTTTTACATTTTATCTAATTTATCTTTTAATATTCCAGGAAAGCATTACCTGTAGAAATTCTTATTCTTCATTGTGGTTATTCTGTATTTGAAAATCCCTGAATATAAACTCCCATGCTGGACTATAAAATACCTTCCACAGTAGGTTGATAATGTGATACTTGTAACTAGAGCCAAAATATGAAAGATAATGCACTAATTTCCAGGTTATTCTAGAAAATGAGGTGTTTATTACTTTGTGTCATACCGTAACATTTCTACTTACATATTTAGTGGAAGACCTTTGGTATTGAAAGTCTACAATCTTTATCTGAATACTTAAACCATAATCCTGCAATTTCCTTCTTTAAACTTTACAGAGAGTCTCTTCAAACGATGTATGATGCAACATTAAGAAGACAAGTATTTGTAGGAGTAGGCGCTTCTGTATGGGAAATAATGCCTATTCAATGATTTCAAACTTTTATACAGGCATGATGTGTTCTCCCTGCTAAAGACAGAACTGTGTGAAAACACAACAGGTTCAGGAATCCATTGTACTCTCTTCATGCGTGTCAGTCCATATGGGTTTTGAATCCATGGTGTGAGACTGCAGAGGATGTACATTACTCTTTTAAATTAATGCTTGTTAAACAATAAACCTGTCAAATGAAAATATCTTCGTTGCAGCAAACCCTCTTGAGGAAGGCCCAATCAAGGCCCAAATCTGTCGTCCTTACTCTCACAGGGTATTTATATGTTACCGTGCAGCTAGTTTCCTTGAAATCAATCACACCACATCTGAAGTAAACTACTTAAAGACAGTAAAATAGGCAGAATTACACGCTTAGCAATCAAGTAATTCAGGACCATTACCCAATAATTCAAGGAGACTTCAAAAATATGATGTGATAGAAGAATACCAATTAAAGAAGAGATGAATGCAGCAGTGATACGAGCTATTTAAGGAATATATAGGTTTAAAAAAACATGTAGACACAAAAAAAGATAAGACATTTCTTGGTAAAGTTTGATGATACTCAGATATGTGATCATACTTTAGTGTGATCATACTTCAGTGAGTAATTGTTAAGGAAATAAAACTGTTGAAAAGTAATGACTTCCTTGGGAGCTTTTAAAAGCACACCTTGTACGAAGAAATTCAGATTCTTTCACACTCTGCTCAATCTCTGCTCATTCTTATTATACAAGATATATTTCTAAGCATAGAATATTGTTACAGTTGTGATGAAAACTGAGTGAAATAGCAAGCATGGAGCTTATCTTTGGAATAAGAACAGTGTAAAGTACCTGTTTTCTGTAATGTAGGCTACAGCTATGGTAAGCTGTTATTCAGAAAAAAAAGCTCTCCACTAAGTGGTCCAGAGAATACAGGCACTGTTTGTGGAATTTGGTTGTTTTTTGCCAGAATTAAGCATTACTGTAGAACATTGTGCATTGATTTTGAATTCTCTGTAAGTTACATTGCAGGTAGTCCTAGGCCATGAGCCTCATGGCAATGCTGTGAAGTGGCATGGAGAAGAGCATGATAGGGATCTGCCCTCATCTGTGATCCAACTTGGAAGCAGCGTTGATGTTTGCTGGAGGGGGCACTCTCTGTGCCTCAAATTGGAGCATAAGCTCTTCATTTGCCTTGAGGTACTGGTAGGGTGGGCCCTACAGTTTCAGTGCAGTTAAGGGGGTCAGAACCCAAATGGAGAAAATGGTTCATAAGGGTTTGAACATTTTTGTGGAATTACATTGCTGCATTTATAATGCAGACTAGTCAGTCACAGCTTATCATCCAGCAACCTAATTGCTCAGGCTACTGGCTCACAGTGTTGGAGACGCAAAGGGAAAATAGAGCAGGAAATTTTGCACAAAAATCTGGCGAAGACTGTACTTAGTAATTAGTGCAGAAATGAAAGCCTCCTGCCATGGCTTCAACAGGCTTTCGACTGGGTCATGAAATGACTGAGAGGTCTGGCCAAACTGCACACGCTGCACCTAAGTGCAAGCATGTGCTGTGGTGGTATAAGGTTTTAAGGAACTGGCTCTGCACTGCCCAGGGATTTCCCCTTGGCACTGCCAGAGTGGAAGGGAAAGGCCAGCAGCAATGCCAAAGATCCATCCAGGGCTTTCTGTGTTACACTGATACTCTTTCCTGTTAGGATGGAAATGAAAGTCCAGTTAGTATTAAGCATAAAGCAAAAAATGAATCATTTTAGTGGCAAGGTGACAGTGATAGAAATAAAATCATGTAAACATAACCTCCAGAGGCTGAGCTGTGGTATTGACGCAGAGAAATAGATAGTGCAAATGTTTGATACGATTAATGAGTGCATCATAGGAACTGACTAATGTAACTTTGGCTCCAAGTCTGTTTAACTGACACTTTCCTAGACAAAAAGGAAGTATGTTTTAAAAAGGAAAGCTAATGTTACCTATGCATTGGCCAGAGAATGAGATAACTCATAACACTAACACAGACATTTCATACTCCATTTTTAAATACAGTGATACAACTTTCATTCTCCCATGGCCTCAATCTTGTTGAAACTTCATCCATGAAGCATTTTTAGAAAATAGCCCCTAGTTCATCTTGTTTTCATGAACAGTTTTTCTATGTGTTGTAGCTGTAAAGAAGATTAAGAGACAGTTGTATAGGAGGTCACAGGGGTCTCCAAAGTAGAAAAAGGGGGTTGTGTTTGCTTGCTTGTTTGTTTGTTTATTTTTTTTTTTTTTATCTTTGAAAGTCCTTTGCCGCTTTCCTTAGTTTAAAATGAGTCATCTAATTTTCTCTTTGCATATAAACACAAACCTTGATTTATTCTGGTAGCTGGCAGACCCACTGGAGAGAAAACACAATCATTGCTTATTGGGCATAATGAGATTCACAAAAGCAGAGAGAATTATGTTACTGATTCTGCAAAACCCTTTTTGAAAGCACACAAGCTCTCCTAAGCAGGGGCTGAGAGATTGGGGCACAAAATATCTTGTCACCCTAGAGCTGTTTGAAGTGAAGGAAACTATCTATGGTCTTTTGTAAGACATTTTATAGGCACTATATGCCAAAACAGGTTTTGCTGAATTTGAATGCTGTATATAATAAGTGCCTATAAAAAACAAAAAATTGAAAAGTCAGCTATCTCAGGGCACGTTAATGTGTATTTAGGTGTGTCTTATGAGAACAGCAATGCACGTGAAAGGTACAATTAAGAGTAATGGAAAGGTAAGTGCATAGTTTGGGTCAAAACAACCAGAGACCTTCTGTAGTGCTCCTGCTCAAAGGTAAGGCCCTTTTTTTCCAGATTGTTTAAACTGGGAAATAACTTAGCCTCAACTGACATACTCTTAGCTGCTCCAGGTAGCAAATACTGGTCATTTTAATTGCGTTAGCTGTTCCTGATTAACTAGTAGAGTCTGTGCTGTGCTTGAACAAAGTAGTCCTTGCCTTGGCTCTGTGCTCCTTGCCTTGGCTCTGTGCTATCCTGTGCTCCCTCACGCTTGGTAACGTGCTTTAAAATCACAGTCTTCATGTGAACAAGTGCTGTAGCTGGCTGCGCTTTTGCAGTTATTTGTAAGAGGCATTCCTAACACAGGCAGTACCTTTCATACAATTTAACTGCATGCTTCAGGTAGGTACCTGGAAAATGTTTCCTAAATTAGCCAGTATGAAATCTTAAATGTGAAGAAACTGATTAAATGAGTCTTTAAACATTTTGTAAAGATGTTAGCATTGCTTACTGCGTTGATTTCAGATATTGTCTTTCCGAGAAGAGAATGGTAATGTTAAATTCTCCATCTAAATCTAAACAATTTCCATAAAAAGGTAAAGGAAAACATTTTCATGGAAAGCACTTTGAATATATTTATACTTAGAAATATGACTTATGCAGCCAGTTACAATATATTTGCATATTTAAAAACTATATCTATTGGCAATTGTGTGTAATAGTGTTCAAATTAACTTATAAACCGCGGTTCAGGCAGTCCTTTTTCAGTCTTTACAATCACAACAAAACAGTTTGGTACTTAGATATACTGATTATAGCTACATGCATTTCTTTCTTGTATTGCAGTACAGAACTCAGAGTGAATTACAAAATCCTTTTCAGGCCACAGAGAATATACTTGGGAAATTAATCTTTACTTCAGAGTAAAATTTTATTAGACATTATTATTGAAAATAGTCTTCCAGCTGCCTCAATCTCAGCAGTAGAGTGCAGTCTTGAATTCATGTCTTTCACTTGAAAGTCAAAGATGCTTAAATGTAGGGAACTGTCCTATTCTGTATAGTAGTTTAGTATTATGGGATAATTTTTATTTGGATCTCGTTTATTTTCTGTTTGTGCATTGTTTTGAAAAAGGCAATTTCTCAGGCATTAGTAACTTGGTAAGGACTTTCTTAAGGGCAATATCTCACACAAGATGCAGTATCAAGATCTGTATGTCTTGTAATCAAAGATACCTCTCCACTTTTTGCAAATGAAACATCAGTCAG